ATGTAAATGTATAGCCTATATCAGATTGCACGCCGTCTTGGGGAGGGTGGTGGGGAGGAAGAGGGAGAAAAATCTTAAACTCAAAAGCATATGGAAGTGATTACTGATAAACCAAAATAAATTAATAAATAAATTAATAAATAAAAAATAAAATCTAAAGAGGAAAGAAAAGGAGACCTGGGGTCAATGAAAATCTTTTCTCAATGCAAACTTCTTAAATTATACCTAGCAATGAAATGGATTGGGGAAAACAAAGTAAAGTAAAACAACCAAATTAACAAAAAAAAGATCGGTGACTGATGGGATTGGCAAAAGAAAGGAGAAAGTCTAAGATGACATCTGGGTGACTGGGAGGATGGTAACGTCCTCAACGGAAATAGAAGTGTGGAAACAGGTCAGGAACAAGGATTAAGATGATCAGTTCTGTTTTGGAAATGCTGAGTTTGAGATGCCATTAGGATAGCCAGGTAATATCGAGTAGGCAGTTGGCAAGGTTGAGTTGGAATTCAGGGGAGGCATCAGGGTTAGATACACAGATTTCATTAAGAAATCATCACTGTAAAGCTGATAATTGAAACAATGAGAGAGGAGCAAATGCACTCACTCTCCAGAGTCCTACAATAATGACAGGTTGGGTCAACTTGTTCTCTCTCCAAACAGCAAATCTAATAATATGAAATATAATATGGATAAATATAAAGCTTTATGCTTGGGTTCATAAAATCAACTTCTAAAATATAAGACAGAGTAGAGTGTCATCTGCAAATGATCTGGGTAGTTTAATGGACCAAAAGTTCAATGAGTCAAAAATGATATACAGCAGGCAAGAAAGCTAATGCAATCCTAGGCTGCATTAAGAGAAGAATAATGTCTAGGATGAGGGAAATGATATTACTGTATTCCACTTTGTCTGGCCACATCTGGAGTATTGTGTTTGCTTCTGGGAGTCGTATTTTAGGAAGCACTTTGGTATGTGGGAAAATATCCACAAAGTTAACCAGGATGGTGAAGAACCTTGAGTTCATATTATATGAAGACTGGTTGGAAGAACATGTTTAGCCTGGAGAAGAGAAAATGGAAGATGAATATGATCACTGTCTTCAAGTATTCAAAGAGTTGTCACATGGAAGAAGGATTAGACAGTTAAGTGTCATAGTGGAGAGAATACTGGACTTGGAATTAGGAAGGCTGAATTAAAATCCTTCGTTCCTCAGATATCCACTCCCCTTAACATACTATACAAATGTTAGCTATTTATTATAATTGCTTGTTTTGCTAACCCTCCTCCCTCTTCCACCCGGAAAGGGACAGAACTATGAGAAATGAGCAGAAACTGCAAGAAGCCAAATTTAGACTTCACATATGGGAAAAAAAAACTGATTAATTAGCACCATCAAAAAGTAGAATGGGCTTCCTAAGGAAATAATGAATTTTCCATTATTAGTTGATTTTAGGTAAAAGCTGTGAGAACACTTCTCGGGTATGTTGTACAAGGAATTTGCCTTCAGCTGTAGATTGTACTAGAAAGTGTCTGAGATCCCTTCCAACCCTGAGATTCTGTGATAATATAAGGGAGGAGGGGGTAAAGGCAAAAGGGATATATGCATCCTGCATAATACCTGGTGATCCTCCTGAGTACTGATATGAGGATAGGAAGAGTAGATGCTGAGTCAATAGCCTTGGCGTCAGGAGCAGCCTTCCTACCTCCTAGTAATGGAAGGCTAAGACACTGTTATTTTTTTCCCAATAATCCAGGTGACATAGGACAGAGTAGGCAGTGTCTCCACACATGACAATAAGCTTTTGGATGAGAATACCTCCAAACTAGGGTCTAAGAAGTGAATCCCCGCTCTCTCAGACCCAGTGATGGGGGAACAGACTCCAGGAAGTGACAAGAAACTCACTACCTCATAAGGAAGTGATTTTAGATGATAAGAGTACAACAAAATGTCTGTCTCAAAAACACAGTACGGACTTTATAAATACTGATTTAATTTAATTTTAAAAATACATCCATACTCATGAAGCCTTATTTCCTATTTTCTGTGTTTTACACCACGGCAAGTGACACAAATAACCCAGACACAGATTCCAGAGAGTCGTCATCCCTTAGCCAACAAAATACTAATCTGTAATACTTTAAACACTTACCTACTTATTCTATATGATTGCCAAGAAGCTTCTAGGGTTGATGACATCACCAATGAGTTACTCAAGGTTCTTCCCTGTCCTAGGCTTTTAATAAAGCTGTTTCTAAGCAGTCTTCCCACCCCAAATTTCTTCTATAATTTAGCTCTACTTTTAGCACCTTCAATAAATGAGTATGGAAAATGCAGGCACAGGATGAGACAGTGAAGAGAGTGGTGGGCTTGGAGTCAGGAAGACCTGCTTTCAAATTTCACCTCTGATACCTATTGAATATATAGATCTGAATATAGATACAATAATATATTAAAGTTATAATATATAGTATAACAATCATTTATGTCTTAAAATCATTGATATAATTGTCTCTATAAATTTATACAAACCCTGATTAAAGCATATCAATACATTAATGTGTATCCCATATTATCATTTAGAACAATTAATATGTCTGTGATCCATTCATTTAATATCCTCATTCACAACTCATGGTACAACCCTAGGCAACCATTTCATCTCTCTGAGCCTTAGTTTCCTCATCTGTCAAATGGGTATAATAACAACTATAGTACCTACTCCTCTGGTTTGCTCTAAGGCTCAGTTGAGATGATGTACATAAATCACTCTGCAAACTTTAAAACACTATATAAAAGCAACTGTAATCAGTAGTAATTAAAGTTGAACTCACCCATTTGCCCAAGCCAGGATAGTCATGTTCAGGATCAAAAAGGTGTTGATGCAGCTGGAACTCTCGGCTGAACTCTGCAGTGTCAGGGGAGTTTTCCAGACATCCATCATCTACTGCAAACAGGCAGAAGTCTTTGAGAAATAGCTAAGCAACTTATGCATGCCCCCATGGGTAAAGGTAAATAGGAAAAGGCAGGCCACTGAAGGTCAGGATCACATTCCCATCTGTATCCCATGTATCTATTCCTGCTTCCTCTTGACTCACTTTGTGACCTCAGGCAAATCACTTTCCCTCTCTGGGCCTGTTCTCCATCTGGAAACTGAAAATGATGATGGCTACCTCCCTCTAGTTACTTCAGAGGGATATGGTGAAGTTTGTGCCTAGATTTTTGGAAATACCTTGTGCTCCTTAGAGAAAGGTGCAATATCATCATGCTATTTTATATATAAAATATAAAATAGAATATTTTATTTTAAATACAATGTTAATTTGTTTAATAATGCTATATATTATATTTGTAATATAATATTCTATGTAATATTTTAAAATAAATGCAGCTTGTGCTCCTTAGAGAAAAGTACAATATCAATGTATTTTATATATAAAACATTTTATGTAAATATAATAATATATGATAAATAAGGTTATATAATGATGTATTATACATAATAGTTATTGTGCTTAGCACAATACCTGGCACATAGTAAGCACTTAATAAATCTTAATTGATTGATATATATTAGGCACAGTTGTACTCAGCATGAAGCCAAATGGGACTCTGACCCAGGGCACTGATAGGAGATAAAGTGTGAGTCCTCCCTCCTCTGCTGATGACCTTGACAATCCCTTGATTCACCTCCTAAATCTCTGGGGGCCCAGGATAGAACCACATCCATAGTCCTCTCATGACTTCACTCCACTCACCCACCCACAAACTGAATTTGTCTCAGGCGCAGTTTGGGTTAATTATAGTTCTAATATGAGATACACATTCCTGGGGGAAGAGGGGAGGAAGTGCTGGGTATTTTGCATAACCAGTACACTTTGCATATTTTTAATTGTGCCCCTGGATTCACCACAGCCACTGAACAGAGGTGTGGGGTGGGGGGGAGGGTGTGTGTTAGGCTAATGGTTGTCCCAGTGTGACTGGTGCTATAGGCACTGTCTCTCTTGATGTTGGTATTTTGGGTCCAGATCTGTGATGTCATCTAGGTAGGGTAGCGCCTAATGTGGACATTCCTTCCGAGGATGTAGAATGGCATCATCTGTGGGAGTTGCCTGAGGCACTTGGTGTAACAGTCAGGCTTGGGCTGCCATTAGTCTAAAACACACTTTGTGTTCAAGGGATATGGAATACGTGTTTATTAATCTGGAGTCAAAAGCAAAACTTGAATTCGGGTCTTACTAAATCAAGGTCAACTCTCTAACTAGACCACACTATCATTCAGAAACAGTGTCTTCAAAATCTTTTTTCCCTTTTGTAAATATTGTATTGATGCCTTTTTTTAAACATCACTATCACCCCTCAATGACTTCCCTCCATGGAACTCTCCCTTGTAACAAATAAGTCCAGTCAAGTAAATTAACATATTGTCCACGTTACATATTCCTCATACCTATACTCCCTCACCTCCTTGCTAATGGAGGGCAAAGCTTCCTTGGCCTCAGTACTCTACAAAGCCCCTCTGGATCTTATGATTCTATGGCAATGACTCATTCTGCCCATCTTTTATGTGCCATGGACAACCAATAAAGTCTGGGTTGTGTGAGAAGCTGAGGGGAGGAGTGAAGACCTGTTTTCAAAAGGCTGATGAGACATCAAATAAGTGCTGAAAATGGGCGCCTATTTACAATCAGCCAGGTATGTCCTGTGTCTAGTTTCTTGGAGCATTTCCAAGTCTTTCCAGAAGGCCATCTGAAGCGCACACAAGGCCTCTCAGCAGCATGAACCTAATGTGGAAGTCATTAGCATACCAAAAAATCTCTAATGCAGCTCTACTGTGTCTGCTCAGTGTTCAGAGCTCCTGACTGGGAACGTTATCTAACCCCTACATCTGCAATCATCAGCATGTCACTCCAGTAGGAATGGAGAAAATTATAGCAAAAATAGGTACTCAGACACATTCTTTGGATGATAACTTTCTGGAGTGGATTCTAATCCTTTACTGGAAGTGATTTCCGGGGTGATGCTGAAGGGTGGGAGCCCACTGAGGTCATGAGTACATAATGGTAGGAGTTAGATAACTGAGACACCAAACACTAGAGAACTTAAAATGTTATTTCTGTGGCCAGGAAATAACATAGATGAGGATTTCCCTATGATTTCCACAATGACACAGAAAGCATATTGAGAGAATTAAAGGATAAATTTTCCTTAAATAAAAGACTAAATTTCCAGGATAGTATATTGGAAGCATGGAAGTCTGAAAGCTGAGGCTTGGGACATACACTATAGTCCATACTGACCCCTTCCTTCTCTGAAATCCAATATCATTTATGGTCTCTACGACACAGTCTAGCATCTGATGATAACAAACAATGAATAAGCATTTATCATGCACCAACTTGGGACCAGGTAACATACTAGGTGCTATGTATACAAAGACAAACAGCGAACAGATCCTGTGCTCATAAAGCTTACATTCTATTGATAAAACATTGTATCATTTCCTAATGTTTTTTGAGAATGTCCATTTTATCTCTCCCCACCCCCACAACTGTTTTTTGAGAACTGGGGCTGAGTCTTAAACATCTTTTGGTCTCTTCCACATTACCTTAACATAAATACTTGTTGACCTGACTTATTTGAATTAGTGTGTCTCTAGCATTTTTGTTCCCATCTTCCCTTCATAGCTCAAAAGTGAAAAAAGTCACTTAACCTTTATCTAATAAGGCCTTACACATAGTAACCTTTCAATGATACCTGCAGAATTTAACTAATTTATCATGGAAAAAAATAACATAAGGAAGTATATGATTAAGTTTGGAAAGAGAAATACAGGCAATAAGAACTTGAGAAATTTAGAAGAAGAGATCTGTGTACTCTAAATTTAGTTCAATAAACATTTATTAAATACCTACTATGTGCAGGCCACTGCACTTTGTATTAGGAATACAAAGACAAAAACTAATCATCCCCTTTACAATCAACTGGGGGAGGGAGAGTAGGAGGAAAAGTAAATGTAAAGTACATACAAAGCAATTTCAAGATGAAGAGAGTTTTAACAACTGGGGTGGCAATCCAGAAAGGCCTCCTGTAAGAAGTGGCCCTAGCAAGCTAGGGATGCAACACAGCAGAGGGAAGGAAGGAGAGCATTCCAGACATGGTGGACCACCAGAGCAGAGGTACAGAGGTGAAAGCTAGAATGTCACACACCAGGGACAGGATACAGGTCAATGTGCCTAGAAAAGAAAGTACTTGAGGGGGAATATTATGAAATAAGCCTAGAAAGGTAGCTGAGAGCCAGACTAAAATAAGTCTAAATGCCAGACTGAGGATTTTATATTTTACGAAGCATGTAAGACTTGAGCCAACCCTTGAAGGATGGGTAGAATTTGAAGACACAGAAGGGATGGGGAGGACTCAAACGCACAGTGTTTGACTACGAACTCACTCCGTCTAAATACATGAATAAGGGCCCCTGCTGTATCTAATCAATCCATCCAGCTGTCCCTGGGGACTGTTGTTCCTTAAACTTGGTACGGGTCTTTCCTCTCCCTGAATCCAAAATTCTACAAGCAAATAATACGTGGCTGAAGTGATCTGAGCCATGCAGTGATTCAGGTTTTCCTGCAATCCTGTTTTCAAATCTAATTTTTCACTGTGCCGGCAGACCCACATTGCTTAGCCACACGCAATCACTTAGGTTCCAGTTAGTTACAGGGACCATGTTTTCTGAACAACAAAAAACAAAACAAAACAAAACAAAACAAGACACATGGTCTGATAGAAGATATTCCTTTTGTGAAGTCTTGTTAAAAGTACACTTTCTTTTCTTGGAACTGGGGCTATCCCAGATTTTCTAGGACATATGGTTGCTGTGCCATCTTAGTACCTCTTCTAATGGCTCTAGCCCAAGCGGAATTTTCTTGAGGCAGCAGAGTCCAAAACCTACTTCTTAACATCCCCTATGGAGTCCCTGGACTTTTTCCTGATCTCTCCGTAATGACTGAAATAACACCAAGCATCAATGAAATCAATTATTTCAATAATGAGGAAATTGTACCACCAAGAGACCAAGGTTAGCTGTATTCAGGCATATTGATACCCTATTGGAACCTAATGCTCCAATTCAGTTTACCCGCCCAACTCTGGATTCCTTTTCACACAGTCCATGAGCTATTGAAAGTACAGATTTGTCCCTGAAAGGGACGACCTCTGGCAGGTAACCCGATTAAATCAGAACTTTGGGTTCCAACTCAGTACACACCTAGACACAACATTTTATCCTAATCTGGGACAGAAATGGCAGGTGGTAGCTCTCTGAATGTTATTTTGAAAAGTGGAGAAAAGGAAATGGGGAAATTATATCCTTAGTCACTAAGTATTAGCTTAAAAACGAAGGTCTCACTTTAAAAAGAGCCTGAAAGTAGGCGGAAAGGGGTCCATGGGTCAGGGCTGCCAAAACTATCAGTGGTATATCAAGATGCAGGCCTATCCTAGCGATGGAAATTACTACATCCTAAGGAAAACAACAGTATGAGTCGCATGGTCCAGGACAACTTTTAACAGGAAATGCTAATAGTACTCTAGCCCTCTCACTATTATCCGTAGAAACAGTATATGAAGATCTGAGGGGAGAGAACAGGAATGGGCAAGGAAGTTGGTAAAACGGAATGCTATAAGAAATTTCACTGTGCTTCCATATTTGATCTTCTATCAGAACTGTTAAAACGTATTTAAATTGACAGTAGAGTTTTTCGCTTAACCTTTTTTGAGCAAACAAAATCATAGATCTACAAACCGGAAGGACCTCAAAGGCCATCTAATCCAAGCCCCTCATTTTATAGACGAGGAAACTGTAGCCCACAGAATTTAAGCAGCTTTGCCCCGAGGTTGAACAGGCAGGATGTATCAGAGGCAGGATTTGAGCCTAGGTCCTCTGACTCAAAAGTTATGTCTCTTTCCACTATACCACACTATATTCAGAGAAGTGCTATAGTGTAATAGAAAGAATACCAGAGTTTGGATTCCTACTCTTCCACTTACTATGTGGCCTTAGATGAACCTAGTCTCCTATTTATAAAATTAGGATAGTAATAATAATAAATATTCCATAATATGATGGAACTGAAATCATTTTGTATCTATAAGGTGCCACTTGTATGAATTTGTATAGGTCACCTTCACTGTTTCAATTTCCTCATCTGTAAAATGAAGGGTTTCAACTTCATGGGCCCTGGGGTCCCTTCTAGCTCTACATAGACCAATTAGTCAATAAATACTTATTAAGCACTTACTATGTGCCAGACACAGTGCTAAATGCTGGGGATACAAAGAGGCAAAAGACAGTCAGTCTCTGCCCTCAAGGAGCTTACAATCTAATAGATCTTAAATTGTTAATATTGTGTTCCTCCCACCACCCCTACTACCTCCTGCACAGGGAGGGGCTAACCAGATCCAAAGGCTAGGAGTTAGGGGGAAAAGTAGGACAAATGAATGGGTGTGGATAATCCTGACAGTAGATAATCTTGAGTGATGGAGAGTTATCTAAATCTTATGTTGGAAAAGGCAAAGATGTTTTGGAAGAATTTGGATAGAGGTGCTGGAGATTTTTTTTAAAGTTAAGGAGAAGAGGGAGATGATTGAGGGCAACTAAAAGAAAAGGACAGCTAGATGCCTCAGTAGATAGAGCATTGGGCCTGAAGTCAGTGAGACCAGTTCAAACCCAGCTTCAGATACTTTCTGTATGATCTGGGGCAAATCACTTAACCTCTGCCTTAATCCACTGGAGAACAAAATGGCAAACCACTCAAGTATCTTTGCTACGAAAACCTCATGGACAGTATGGTCCATGGGGTCACAAAGAGTCAGACATGACTGCACAATAATGAGAGAGAGAGGCAGAGGGAGAGGGAGAGGGAGAGGGAGAGGGAGAGGGAGAGAGAAAGAACGAGAATGAGAATGAGAATATCTTGACAAAATAACTTTATATATCTAAGCTTCATGACTGAACTGTATATTGTATATTAAATTCACTTGGCCCCTTCACTTTCTAACACAGGGCCACCCAGTGGAATTGAACTGTTAGTAATTCTAAATGTTTACCATTAGCACTTTTTAGTTTAGATTGCTTATAATCTCAAACTTATTTCTCCCTTGGAACACATCAGCATGCTTGCCCATTACCTGTTTTTCCAACGGGGCAGGGATTTGGAGGATCTGGATAGCCCTGGTCCTCACTGAAGTCCTTGGGGATGTTGTCACCAGTCAGCTCAGCCACGATGTTAGGGATGTTACCATATGGACCCAAATGTTGCAGACCTTCATGGGCACCACCTATAGGGAATGCAGAACAGCTTCAGGTGCATGTAGACAAGGAGCCCAGAAAGACAGACACTCACTTCTCAACCAGATTGTGTTCCTGTTTCAGAGATGTGCTGGAGCCAGTTTAAAGAGGCTCTTGAGAGATGATTGTTAAATTTTCAGTGCGAACATTTATACTTTGCAAATTGGCAAATGCTATGATTCAGAGTTTGATTTATTATTTTGTTGATTGCTTAGACTTAAGTGTTGGAAAAATGTTAATAATGTAGATTAAATTGACAAAGATGATAAAAATGACAATAATCAATGCTGGAGAAGCTGTATGATGATAGACACATTAATACATTGTTGGTGGAGCTGTAAAATGGTACAACCATTTTGGAAAGCAATTTGGAATTAATGCAAGTAAGGTAATTACCATGCCCATGCCCTTTGAACCAGAGATTCCATTATTGAATTTATATGCTAAGGAAGCCATCAATAAGAAAAAAGTCCCCATATACACCAAAATATTTATAGCAGCACTTTTTGGATATCAAAGAACTGGAAACAAAGATGACCATTGATTGGAGAATGGCTAAATAAATTGTAGTAATGGAATATTACTATGGGGATTCTTTATTTTTTAATTGTTAGGCAACTGGAGTTAAGTGACTTGCCCAGGGTCATACAGCTAGTAAATATCAAGTGTTTGGTCTGAGGTAGGTCCTCCTGACTTCAGAGCTGGTGCTCTATCCACTGCATCACCTAGCAGCCCCCTTTTTTTTTTCTAAGGCAAGTGGGGTTAAGTGACTTGCCCAGGGTCACACAGCTGGTAAGTGTCAAGTGTTTGGTCTGAGGCCAGATTTGAACTCAGGTCCTTCTGACTTCAGGGCCGGGGATCTATCCATTGAGCCACCTAGCTGCCCCTGGAATATTACTATGCTGTAAGAAATGGTGAGGAGGTGGGAGGTCCACAGGTGTTACACACTGTATATGCTTTCATATTTTCCAATGCATTGATCAGGCATGCTGATACTATTTTCCTCTTTAAAAAAATGCCATTTGTGGGGCAGCTAGGTGGAGCAGTGGATAGAGCACCAGCCCTGAAGTCAGAAAGACCTGAGTTCAAATCCGGCCTTAGACCAAACACTTGACACATACTAGCTGTGTGACCTTGGTCAAGTCACTTAACCCCAACTGCTTCACAAAAAAATAAATGCCATTTGTTAAATAGGATGGCTCTCTGGGAAGGAGAAGGATACTTGGGGTAACTATGATGATGTAAAAAACAGAAGACACCAATAAAAAGTTATTTTTAAAAATACAGATTAAATATTAATAAACAAATAAATAAAATAAAAATTAAATATATTTAGTGTATTGTTTATATGCTTTTTTTTCTGCAGAGCCAATTACTAAACTTTTACCAGTACACTCCTCTCCTGATGCCTTTTGAAAACCAAAATAAATCCTATTCTCTCAGAAAACCTTTTCTGGACCAGCCTCAACTGATTCTACTTCACATATTCCACAAACTAGAGATTTTATACTGTATTAATAAGATCATTGATTTAGAGGCAGAAGGGACCTTCTCTCTGCCTTCTTAAACAAGAGAATACTTAACACAATTTAACCTTGGTCTTGATGACTCAGGATCATCCTTACATTTTATAGCAACAAATATTTTTTCATTGTTTTCTTCAAACATCCTCAAAATAACTGTGAAGTAAGCAGAATAATATCAATCATTATCCTATATCAATATTTTAAGGAATAAAAGATTTCATTTCGTGTAAGAACTCCCCCAACTGATGCTGATCTCATCTTAGCAGACAGTTTCATAAATTGCTATGGCTAAAAAAAAAAATCATCATTAATTGGTGGCCAAACTTCTGTACAACAGTCAATATGGTAAAAGATTGGGCCATGAGTGACAACCACATGGATTATTGAGATGGCTAAGCCATCTGCCTCTACACTAAATGGACCCCATCCTACAATGCTCAGCGGATAAAGGGCTGGACCTGGAGTTGGGAAGACCTCAGTTCAAATCCAGCCTTAGATACTTATGAGATATATGACCCCGGACAAGTCACAGTTTCTCATCTGTAAAATGGTAACAATAATAATAATACTTGCCTCCCAGAGTTGTTGTAAGGATAAAATGAGATAATATTTGCAAAATTCTAGGAAATTTTAAAATACTTGATAAATACTAGCTATCTTTGTTATTAGATCTCCATCAGGTTGGAAGTTGCAAATTCTCTCAATGTGACCTCCTCTCCCCTTCTAATTTAGAGCTTCCAACAACAATGTAGAGTATAGAAAGGATACAATTCACAAGTCCGTTCATTTCCCCAGGGATATGTGAAGCCCTCAGGGCTGTGTTTTGTAAAAACCCAAGCAACCTTTATAAGGGCTCTACAGCCTCCTACCAGCCTGTAATGGAGGAGGTGAGAAAAGTAGTAATGCTGAGTTCAATTTCCTCTTCTTCATTTTTCAGTTCTTCTAGTTGTATAGTGCTTTTGGTTTTTGCAAAATGTTACCACATTTGTGATTTTGACTTGATTCATTAAAAAAACCACACACAGACACACACACACACACACACACACACACACAGACACTATCGATTCCTTAATCTGTCTAAGATAGTTTGTCATTATTGTTCAGTCATTCAGTCCTGTCCAACTCTTCATGACCCTGTGAACCATACTGTTCATGGAATTTTCTTGGCAAAAATACTGGAGTGGTTTGCCATTTCCTTCTCCAGTGGATTATGACAAACAGAGGTTAAGTGACTTGCACAGGGTCACATGGCTAGAAAGTGTCTGAGGCCAAATTTGAACTCAGATCTTCTGACTCCAGGCCCAAAGCTCTAGCATCCACTGAGCCACTGAGTTGCCTCCCAAGGGAGTGCACCTGGCACCAAAGGGAATATAAAGGTAAATAAGAAAAATTTCCTGCCCTCATGAAGCTTTCTCATCAGTGAAGATAAAGATATACACAAATAACCGTAGCACAAGATAGCTTGAGAATCAGGATGTTGGACAATGCCCTCAACTTGGCATCAAGAGCAACTTGGGTTTGAATATTATCTGGACTCTAGCTGCATGACCCCAGGTGAGTCAAAACATCTCTGACCCTCCTCTTCCTCATCTGTATAATGGGGATATTACTAGAACAGAGGTGGGGAACCTGTGGCCTCAAGGCCACATGTGGCCCTCCAGGTCCTCAAATGCTCTTTGACTGAATCCAAACTTCACAAAACAAATCCCCTTAATAAAAGGACTTGTTCTGAAAAATTTGGACTCAGTCAAAAGGTCATAACCAAGGACCTGAAAGGTCACAGGTTCGCACCCTGTACTAGAACCTCCTTCACAGGGCTGTTGTAAAGATCAAATGAAGTCATGAGATGATCCCATTAGATGGTGAGCTCCTTGAGGGTTGGTTGTTGTTATTTATTTGGGGCTTTCTTGGCAAAGATACTGGAGTGGTTTGCCTTTTCCTTTCCCAGCTCATTTTACAGATAAGGAAACTGAGGCAAACAGGGTTAAGTAACTTGCCTAGGGTCACACAGCTTTTAAGAATCTGAGTTGAGATTTGAACTCAGGAAGATGAGTCTTCCTGACTCCTGGCCCAGTGCTCTATCAGACTGTGCCAGCTAGCTACTCTCCTTGAGATAGGCACTATCTTTTGCCTCTTTTCGTACTCCCAGTGTTTAGCACAGTGCCTGGCATATAGAAGGTGTTTAAGAAATATTCATTGACTGACTGACTTACTAATGTATATAGTATACTTTGTAAAACAGTGGTAGTCATTTTATTCATTCAACAAGCACTTGTTAAGAGCCTGTGTGGTATCAGTTATTGACATTATTTGTCTACTTATCCTCAGTGTCTAACACAGTTCTGTGCACATAGTAGATGCTTAGCAAATTATTGTTTAATCAATATCATTATTAGAATGTAAGAACACAACAAAAGATAGAGTATTATGGGAATTTAGAGGTGAGAGTGATGACTTTTGATTGGGGATCAGAGAAGGCTTCATGGAGAAAATGACATCTGGACTGCAGTTTGAAGTATGGATAGAATTGGAGCGAGAGAGCTCTGGGCAGAAGGGGTTGTGAGTGGTAGAGTCAAGGCAAAAGGAACTACATGAGCACAGTATCAAGAAAACCTGCACTATTCCAATGAAGTATGTAGGGCTGATATCCCCACTTTACAGATGAGAAAACTAAGGCCCATAGAGGTTAGATAATTTGCCTGTGGCCAGGTAGAGATGCCCAGCACAAGCATATTAAGGCCCCACAAGAATCTTCTTACTTTGTTTTCCACTTCCAAAGAATGGTCAGAGCCCCAAAGTGTCAATTGGTAAAATGAGATCTCCCAAAATGAAAATGGGCTCAAAAGGTCCAGGGGGCTTACTCTCCGAAAACAATTCTCCTTACTCACAACAGCTCACTATGAAGATTCAGAGTGACTGAAGCCAAGTCCCCATTCTCGGCAGGCATTGGCAGAATCCTTCTCGGATAGGACACTGGTCATTATTCTTGCTACTGTGGTTCATTAATGTCTGAATGCCAGCTCCATGCCAGGAGGTTTACAGCATCCAGACCCAGCCCCTACCCTGCAGACTTTCACTCACAATGTGGTAACGCCCTGACAATCTCACAGCCAGCCAGCCAGCCAGCCAGCCAGTCAAGTCTCATCAATAAATCTTCTCTGCTATAACCCAATGACGCCAAGCCTGCCAGTTGGGTTGGATGACTGGACATTGGTGATGGACAATAATGAAGAATTGTAGTGGGACAGTCAGGTGCCAAGTTACCAGTCACCCACATCATAAAAAGGGAGTTCCATGAGGGCAGCCTGGCAGAGAGTGGGTACAAGCTCCTGAATACCAGTCATTCAGCTAAAGGGGAAAAGATCCAGCAGTTTTCAGTTATGTTACCCACAAACAGCAGGCACTAAAAATACACAGCAGCCCCTTCCTTCATTCTTCCAACCGTCCTGGATATACCATTT